TAGACTTTCTCTCAGTTCTAGGAAGCAGGTAATGGCAAACATACCTCTGGAAAAAAAAAAAAACGTGCCAGGAAAATTGTAGAGATTTGTCCAGGCAGTCCCTGAGAATTGGACATGATTGAATGGAAGGAAAACAATGTTTGAAAACCCTTAGGGTAATGCAAAGAAGCGTGGCAGTACAAAAGCTAGGTTAAGGGTTTGCGGTCTGGTAGAAATAAAATGGCATGTTATATAACATTTCTTATACACATTATATGATACTTCTTGATATCAGAATAGGATGCCTGAGATTCTGAAGAAACGATGCAGGCTGGAATGCAAAGTATGCTCAACTTTGCAAAACAAAACAAAATCAGGAGGGGACAGTGCCTTTAACAAACAAATTGCCTGTATAACTGTGCATTGCATTTTCAAAAGTGAACAGCGAACCACTTTTACCCACTGGTCTACATCCAGACTTCACATGGTACCCAAAAAAAAAAATCTGACAGCCACAACAACCTGGTAAAGCTTCAAAAAAAACTGCCACAAAACTAAATACAGTGCTGCCCTTTAAGGGAGCTTCAGATCTGCCACAAAACTGTTTTACAAAAAAGAATAAACTCTTAAAGAATAATCCCCCCAACCCCACTGTAGCTCTGAAAGCAAATAAAAAGTCATTAAAACATATACAAAAGTTGAGGTGAGTTGTGATGATGGGTCCTCCTGAAATCTGGTGGCCCCAGAATTTTGCTGAAGTAAGAGCTATACATTTCCAGAATTCTTTCAGTCTAGAGCAGGGTTGTGTAGAAATGATCTAGTGAAAGATCACTCGGTGATTTGCAATAGATCAGGAAGCAATTTTCCCAGTGATTTTTTTTTTTAGCAATGACATCAAGTGCATTTTAATGAACAACAACAACAAATCCTTCTTTGCCATCACTTGCCTTGCAATCACTTATCTTTTTGCTCAGGTGTCAATCATTGGTGAAACAGAAATATCAAGTGCCTTTGCCCAAGTTAATTATGTAACTCAGCAACTCTCAGATTGAGAATTTTAAGTACAAGTATAGATTTGTACAGTAGTGCCTTAGGTGGGTATTTCGGTTCACTTCTCCAGTGTGTGACTCAGGAGGTGCAAAGAATAACTGACCACTTAGCATCCTGTTATTTTTCAAGTAACTACGATGAGTGAGCAGCACAGTGGCTCAGTGGTTAAGATGCTGAGCTTGTTGGTTGGAAAGCCAGCAGCCTGGGTTTGAGACCCAAACACCACGTGACAGAGTGAGCTCCTGTCCTTGCCCCAGCACCTGCCAACTCAGCAGTTCAAAACATGTAAATGCAAGTAGGTAAACAGGTATCATTTTGATGGGAAGGTAACAGTACTCTGTGACATCATGCTGGCCACATGACTGCAGAAATATCTTCAGACAGTGCTGGTTCAATGGCCTTGAAACAGAGATGAGCGCTGCCCCTATAGTCAGCAAACCTTTACTTTATGAGGAGTGGGCTTCCAGATTCTTATAAAAAACAGACCTCACAGGCATGAATTTGTAAAGTCTTGGTTTAAAAGAGCCTGCAAACAGTTAGGGAAACTATGGCCCTCTTGGGGTAGTTAAATTGCAACTTTGATTATCCCTTATCACTAGCTAGCTTGATTAGGGCCATGGTGATTGTATTGTAGCAGCACTTGATGGGTTATTAGGTCCCCACCAATACTGTCTCATAAGAGATAAGACCAAAGGGAAGGGGAAAGGAGCTGTGTTTATGTCCTTCTTGTCCCCTATGCTCTTTGGTTAAGTTGTCACCATTCCAATTTCCAACAAGGAAGGAAATGCAATCTGGGTTTGCTAACGCCATTAGCTAAGAAGCGTGTTCAACTTGAAGCTGACAGTGATTTTGCATTTTGCCTAGAAGACACCCCACAAAAGTTTGCAGTTGCTTTTTAAAATGAGGATTAAATCCAGTCAGCATCTTTGCTGTTGTCCCTTAGCAGTGGCCAGTAGGAAAGATTCTCTGAACAGTATCTGCACCCATTTGTTGTCTCGATTCTCAAGTTTTCTTTTCCTTTTACTATAGTTTTCCTAATACTGGTTTTAGAATGGAACTGGGAACAGTCTTAGCCTATTATTGGTCTGAGGCTTGTGTGATCAGCTTTGCTTAAACCGAAGCAATATCTACAACCCCTTAGATGTTGATATATGTACTGAAGTAACTTTAGCTTTCTCCTTCCACTCAGTCTTGGCTGAGAACACTATTGGAACCAGTCCCTGACACTTACTGGCTATGCTGGCAAAAAGGGAGAGAGGGGGAGGATAGTTTTATACCAAACCAATCATAGAACCTGAAGCTCTTAGAATAAATAAAACAATCTTAGAACAAAACCAAGGTGTTTTTTCTGAGATTAAGACAAACTTTTAGAACATGGCTGCAGTTTCAGGTTTGATTCAGGACAAGTTTTTGATATTGAAATGTTTTAAACTCAACCTTTTACCCAACCCTGTGAGAGGAAAGTATTAGAGATGCTGGAGGAATCTTTGTGAATGGGACAAATACTGTAGGAACCTGGTTTCCAATCATTTTTGCACCTCCGAAATATATTGGTGCATTAATTCTTAGCTCATTTACCTGAGCTCCCTACCCCCTCCGCAAATATATTTATACATTTTAAAATTTATATGGGAATAATATAAAATATATTTAGAAATATAAGAAATTTGGATCCTTATGGCCAGTATTGTTTGGAAGGAAGATTCCCTCATGTAGAAAATAAGCAGACATTAATCAGAAAATTCAGTTCTATCTTCTGTGGCTTGAACTGGAATTACACATTTTTAACAACACATAAGTTAATTAGTGTTTTGTTGGAACCAATACTGATTTGTTCCTAAGCACAGTAATTACGTTGCAAGTGTAATTATCACTGTCACATTTTTTTTTTTCTTCCTGGCTTTGTTCCTCTCTGCTATTCACTCCCACCAACAAAGCTTGTGTGCTCAGTGTCCACTAATTTAGGATTACATATTAGGCATCTCATGAATGCAATTCCAGAATGTAATTCCAATCATAAATACGCTAGTCTTCCAGGTGCAAGAGACCTCTTTGCTGCAACAAATTCTGTCGTTCTGTTCATCTTTTAATAGAAATTGGAATTGGTAAAATGCTTATTTAATGGTGAATTTTTAAATAGGTTAAAAGGGGTCAAAATGACTAATAATGACCGTACACATATGGATAGATGAGATATGGATAGTAGAATAGACTAAGAAGCCAAAGCCATATGAGATCTAAAACGACCTTTATTGAAACAGCCATAGAAACAGAACCTTGCAAATTTGAGTGTGCTTCTTCACTCCTCCCCTTTATCTTTGTATGAACCAGGGAGGGGCCTGAATCATTTACTCACTTGTATCTTCTTGACTTGGGCTCAGGACCCTTTAATCTGACTGTTGCCTTGGTAGCAGCTCTTTCTCTTGTCCGTCAAGGCCATTCCCTCTTCCCTCCACAAATGGATAATTACCCCATAGCAAGTGGCTACACTTAACTGACCTTGGCTGAATTGGAAAAAAAATCAGTGGGGTGAGTGTTGGACTAATTAATACTTGGATACAGCAAAATCCCAAGGCTATGAGCTACATCAGGAAGGTAAAAGCAAAGCAACATCAAGGCAATGGCACATGTTGTATTGCTCTCAAAAAAAACTTATCTGGACTTATTTATGTAGTTTACCAGGATTTGACTCAAAAGTCTTTGTATCAAGTTTTACCTTGTTTTAAACTGGATCAGTCACTCTAAGCTGTATACAGTTCTGGAAATGAATCTGTAGGATTCCCAATAGCCTTCTCTATTCTGCTGTCTTGAAATGTTACATAGCATAAGACAGGTTGTGATTTGGTGTTCTGCAATGTAACTTTCTCAAGTTACTCCCCTCCAGAAATGATTATTCTTCCACCACTAATAGAAAGCAATCATGATTTCTGCTTGGGGGAGAAGGCAAGTGGCAAAATGTTTGTCACAGTATCAGGCAAAAAATGAATTACATACGCACATCAGACATCAAGTTGCAACTACACAGAGTGGACTTTGTGGCATAACCTCATCTTGTGTACGTCGGTCATTCTGATGTGGTCCTGGGCTGTTGCCAACCTCTATGAAGGGAGGGGTCCATTTTGCCAGTAAGACAGTTGGATTTGTGGTAAATATCTACAGCTGGAACACTGAACACAGTTCTCATCTGAGCAAAATGAAGATGTCAGCATTTTAAGTTATATTAACTTATTTCTGAACAAAAACTAATTTAATGGGAGTAAGGGCCTAGATTAAATAGGAATTAGAATGAGATGGAAACTCTGCAGGCTGATAGAAGAGACTACACTATTTTTAGTTGTGAATGAGAAGGTCGTATTCTGATTACTATATTCCTTTAGATCAGGGTTTCCCAACCTTGGCAACTTTAAGACACATGGATTTCACCTCCCAGAATTCCTCAGCCAGCCATGCTTTAGACCAGGGGTAGGCAACCTTGGCTCTTTTATGACTCGTGGACTTCAACTCCCAGAATTCCTGAGCCAGCCATGCTGAGGGGAAAGGGAGAGGTTTCCAAGCTGAGCCATGCTGGCTCAGGAATTCTGGGAGCTGAAGTCCACGAGTCATAAAAGCGCTAAGGTTGCCTAGCCCTGCTTTAAACTGTTGGCATGGAATCATATTTTTTTCTTATTACTCCATTATGGGTTGTTTTAAGTATAGAAGTAAAAATTGAAAAAGATGGAGTGCACCTTTCCTCACCCGCCCCCCCCCCTCCCCATATTCGAGGAGTTTGGATTTTAAAAACAAACTTTTGTGATTGGAAGCGGCAGGATCCATTTTGCTTCATTAGGATTTTGCACATGCACTGACAGGATGTGGCCCTGGCTTAGATGGAGGCAGAAGACTTTCAATGGTGTGCTGTAGAATAATGCTTCCTCCAGACTGCAAGATCTGCACTGCTGATCTCTTCCTCTTTTGCTGTTCTTCTCCCACAGCGCTGCAAAGACCGCCTAAACTCCCTAGCCATTTCAGTGATGAACCAGTGGCCAGGGGTGAAGCTCCGGGTGACAGAAGGTTGGGATGAAGATGGACACCACTCAGAGGAGTCCCTGCACTATGAAGGCCGTGCTGTTGACATCACCACCTCTGACCGGGACCGCAACAAGTATGGGATGCTCGCACGCCTGGCTGCGGAGGCTGGTTTTGACTGGGTTTACTATGAATCCAAGGCTCACATTCACTGCTCTGTTAAATCAGGTGAGGCGTTATTTTGAGAACAGGATAAAAGACAACAATGGAGATAATGGGGACTCTGAGGAAGCGGGAGACACAAAGATAGGAAAGATAGGAGAATCTGATAGGTGTGTAGAACTTCGGGCTGAAGGAATGGATGGTGCCTTACCACATTCCCCCCCCCCCCGTTTTCCCCCTTTGTTGCTGCATCAGCAGCACCAGTGTCATCCCACAAATCTGCTGTGTAGTTTCCAAGGATTCTGTCCTCATAGCTGACGGCATTGAGACTGTCGATGGAATGGATGAGAAGAAATTCCTTGATTCTGGACCAAGGACTTTTTCTTTCCCAGAGCAATATGATAGGTGAGGTGGGGTAATTAACAAGAAATGCCATCCATTACTGTTTATGGAAAGGCAAGGTTGGATATAAGCCATAGTTAACGTATGAGGATTTAGACAACCTTCATTTGGCATAGCTCCCCCTCAGGGTCTTCTCTACTGGGCCAGAGTAAGAATTCCCACTTATATTCAGGTGCTCAGGCAAATGCTGCAGAGAAAGGTTGTTTTACAGATGGTACTTCTCTTATCTCACCTTCTCTTTACCAAGCATGGTGGAGAGTAGTTGAGATAAGAGAGGTATCTTCGGTAAAACAACCTTTCCCTACAGCATTAGCCTGAGCACCTGAACATAGGTGGAAGAACACCCAGTGGCCCAGTGGAGAACACTAGCTAGTATTTTGTGTGTGTGTGTGTGTGTGATGTAAGCCCAGAAGTATAGATTCTGTCCAGCAGAAGGCATCCTTGAACCCTGGCCCAGTCCTAAGGCCTATGCTGTCTGTTGGGATTATATGCTGTGGGGTTCCCCCTGGTGGCCAGAGTACCACGCTTTGACTGTGGCCTCTTGTTCCTATCCTTTGACCATTAGCATGACCTGCGGGTGTCCCAGCCCTTTCCAGACCCACAGGCTCTGTCGCTGATGGGAACGAAGTGCCTTTGCCCAGGCTTGATCTTACAGTGCTTGGCCCAGCAGCCAAATCTCCATCAGTTGACTGCAGCATATCTGGAGTGAACGGCGCTGGAGAAAGAGACTGGTCCAGGCAGAGTGGAGCACAGCCTCTCCCTTCTGGTATTAGGATGGACAATGCTGCCTTATAGACCACTGGATGGAGCTTTGCTAGCCAAGTGTCAAGAAACTTTGTCCAACTTCTCCCCCTTGGATTTTGGGTATCCAAAGCCTTGATATCAGCAGAACTGCTGTGGATATATTCATAACTGAGTTGTTGCACTGGGTACCGAGGCCTGTCTGTTGCCAAGCTGGGATCCTGGACTGCTGATAGATCACTGCCAGGTGATTTCCCCAGATCATATATTTAAGACACTTTCTCTAAGCTCTGCGGGCAAAAATAGCAAAGCAGTTTTGCTTTATCTTATTAATGCTGTGCATACTGTTGGGATACTCTGTCTGCTTCTGGATGCTCACATTTCTAAATGGATGTTCCAAATTATTCAAAGACAGAAAAATTGTCATGATAGTGGACAACTGGAGGAGGAGAATTTTGCAGGGATAAAGAACTGGTCACTGAAGTGAGAGAATCCAGTTCCTGCTAGTAGTGAGAACCCGCACTTGGGGAACAGACAATCTTAAAAGAGGTCTTTATTCAGGATTTCAGGCAGATGGAGGTTAGAAAACCTAGTGGGCAGTACAGATAGGATACCTTAGCCCTGAGCTGTTTGAAAGGGTTATATAGAAACTCTAAGGATAATGAATTGGTTGAATGGCAATTGGATTCTTGTGTTTAATCAGATAATTTTTATGTGACTGGTAATGCTGTGTACTCCAGATATCTGGCCTGATAACAGCTACTAAACATCTGTATCAGTTCTGTAATCTGGCCTATTTGTCTCTCCATCTCTTTTCTTGCTTGGACTCTGTAAATATCTATGCAATATTGAAAAACAAAACTGAACAGTTTAACTGTTTAACATTCTTTGTAGCACATGCGCTTGGTTCTGATAATGAAACATATTTTCCCAGTACAATGAACTTCTAGAACAAACTTGAAAAATGTTCATGTAGAAGAGTTATTGCCAATTTAAGCTTGAATCAATCTACTTTTAAATGAATGTCAATTTATTACAAGTATATAAGAATTAGGGGAGAACTGGAATAGCTATTTCGAACTCTTTAGCTCTTTGGCTCTAGTTTGAGCTGATACAAGGCAAAAGATTTCTCTCTCCCATATTTGGGCAACAGGGTGTAACATACAGCATTATATATATATATAATGTTTGATTTCTCATTCATGGTTACTTATGAGTAGCATTCATCAGCTGCTAGTGTGTGCCACTCTCTGTAATATCCCAGCTGGAGTGCATTGGGATTCCTGAATTACACATCTATATATCCTTCTCTGTTCCATCTAAGGTCAAATAAGACCACATAATTGCAGACTAGCCTTATTCCCGTAGCATCTATGTGCAGAATCCCAGTGAGATATTCCAAGACTTGAAGTCTAAAGAAGGTAGATTGGTCTTGGCACACAGGAATACAATCATGTTTAAGTTTGAACAACAAAGTTATGCAGAAAAATTACGACTGAATTACACCTGCCATGTGCTGTTCCTTTAGGGATCCTTTTATGCCATCATTTATTTCTGTGCAATGACATAACGGTAAATCGGAAGAATCAATACACATATCTCTCTGAACTCTTCTCTGAGAATGAAGAAGTGCTTACAGAGAAAGAGGAGGTTCCTCTTTTAGTCCAGGACTTGTAGAACTATGTCTGGAGTGCAGACCATCTTGTGATATCTGGTTTGCTTTTCTCTTAATCTCCCCTCCTGAAGCAAATACAGACAAAGGCAAGAAATGTAGTGTTTTGTTGTCCAAGTATTTGGAGAACAATAAGTTTACCTTTTGAGTAAAGGATGGATTTCCTTATCTTGCCATTGGGTTATACGGGCCAGAGAAGTGGTTCTTCACTTTTCTTTACACAATGATCAGTTTGGAGAAGTGATGCAGGGTGCTTGCCAAAGAGATTGGGACTCCAAATATCAGTGATGTGCCTTGTCATGCAAGTTGTACTTGCTGAAATTCTCTCTTCCTCATAGCTGTTAAGAGAGAAGAGTCTTGTTCCGTTTTGAGCCTTCTCCTGCCATAAGAACTTTTCCCCCAAAAAACTAATTGGGAGGAGTAGGAATAAAAGTTGCTTTCAAGCACTATGACCAAAGAACAGTTTCTACAGTTCTTTGGGGAGTTTGGAAGCAATTTATTTTGTTTTCTTTAAAAACAATAAATACAGATTAATACTATACTCATTAGCAGCACAGAAGTTAGAATGGCAGAAATGGATTGTGCAAAAGAAGGATCTTCCCTCTTTTGCATAACTATTAACTGATTCTCTTTCCTACATCCAAGTGGAACTTTGGATGTGTTAGTCATTCCATATTGAGAAAGAAAACCAACCTTCATTTGTTGCTTCAAAACTGGTTTTTATAATAGAAAATTGTAGTTTATTCAAAAAAGTTTAAAATACAAAATACCAAAGTATTTTTAAACAAACAACAAAAGACAAAAATAAAACAAAAAAGACATTAACAAAAATAATGTCTTAAGGATACTAACACATATACACCTAACATCCTCCCTAGTTGAATGCTGATTAGTGTAATATAGCAATGTTGGTTTCTCACCCCTTGTATAACAGGCCAACAAAATTTCAAACTGTTAAACTACTCAATCTACTTAAAAATTGTTAGCCTATCATTTATGAACTATATTAATAACAAAATGGTTAGCAGTAAAACCAATAATAATAAACATATTATTTAATAGTATAAGAATAATAGAAATTGTAAGCAGTAATAAAAAAACCCCAAAGTTGAAATACTAAAACACTCTGTTAACAAGCTGTTATTTTGATCAACTTGTAGAAAATTTACCATGGCTTTAGTCCCCAAACATCGCAAATATTAATCCTAATTGATCCTGGATCAAATACCCACATTTGCTTACTATCCCTTATCAATTGCTGATTAATTAAATATAAGTCAAGTCTCCAAAGCCAATCTATCTTATCCCCCAGAACATAAAATTGTTCCTCAATTAGATGTATAAAATCTATTTCCCACTCTCCATCAAACCCTTTAAAAAAAAAAAAAAAACATTTGCCACTCATCCACCCAGATAATTGTCTGCTATTATATGGAAGCGGTGTTAAGCTTCCAGAAGGTGTATTGAGTTGGCTCTATAATTTCAGAATTTGTATTTCTTCCTGGCCAGATTACAGCTGGAAAAACACATTTCTTCTCGATGTTCTCCACCATCCGTGTTATTTTTGTGTCTGTATTTCTCCCTGATGAATATGCAGCGGATTGCTTCAAAACTGTTCCCCTTCACCACAGCAGCAATACGTTTATTCGTACAGTATATTGATCCTATTTATCCAATTTATAGGGAGTCCGGAGACCCTGAGACCCTCCCACCTCACTCCATCTCCCATTAATTTTTATGCCTGCCTTTGAGTTCCCCTCTTTCTAATAACCAGACTGCACTCTTTCTCTCTTTTTGTTCAGAGCATTCAGCAGCAGCAAAGACGGGAGGCTGTTTCCCAGCCCGGGCCCTGGCAACTCTAGAGAGTGGGACCAAGATTCCATTGTGGGCACTGAAGCCCGGACAGCGGGTCCAAGTCATGGATGCACAAGGCCACCTCGTATACAGTGAGTTCCTGGCATTTCTGGATAAGGCACTGTCATCAAGGACCGCTTTCCACGTCATTGAGACACAGGACCCACCCCGCCGCTTGGCTCTCACAGCAGCACATCTCCTTTTTGTCGGGGAGAACGCAACTGCACCCATGAAGACTATTTTTGCCAGCCTGGTCCAGCCAGGTCAATACGTGCTGGTAACTGAGAGGGGACAGCTGCAGACGGCCAGGGTAGCAGCTGTCTCCTTGCAGGTGGACGTTGGTGCCTATGCTCCCCTCACCAATCATGGGACTCTGGTGGTGGATGAAGTGGTAGCCTCTTGTTTTGCTCTGGTGCAGGACCATCATTTGGCTCAGTGGGCTTTCTGGCCCTTGCGACTGTATCTCCACTGGGCAGGGCATGACTGGACCCAGCCAGAAGGTGTGCACTGGTACTCTGTCCTGCTTTACCGTCTGGGCCAAATGTTCCTAGCTTCAGATAGCTTCCACCAGTTGGCCACAGCGCAGTTTGAGAGCTGAGTGAATGTCTTCCATTGCCTCTGAGACAGGGAGAAACCCAGTGGCCTCTACTGGTTCTTGGGTGGGACTGCTTGGCAGCCAAACCCCAATGGTGGGGGACAGGAGGTGGGACCTCTGATTTCCCCTCACCTATACCAAGCACAAGAGTGGAAGGAAGGTTTTGACTTTTGTTTCCGCCTTCTTTGTGCTGTTGGCTAAGAAGGGAGTGCCCAGTAATGGGGCCATACGCTGCTATTTTGGTTGAAGAGCCTCTGATGCAAAAAGGAGAGTGAGCCAGATGGAGATCCTCAAACCCGGGATGAATGAAAAAGGTGGCTGGGAAATTCTGCAATTCCGGATTGCAGATTAAGGACGTACTGTGTGACTCTATATGCAAGGAGGCTGCAGGGAGAGGCCAAGTGTGGGGTTGTGAGACTTCTCCCAAAAACCATCTCCTTTTAGGAACTGTATGCCTCCTGGCACTGTTCCTTTGTGGCCAAAGCAGCTACACGGGTGACACTCCTGGATTCTAGCCCTTGTGAGGATGGAAATGCTTATTTCCAGCTGAAAGTTCACCTGAATCTGGGGCAATAAGCACAGGAAAGAAGAAGGGCACATCAATTATGGTAAGGGAACAGGCAACAGAGAGGAGGAAAGATGTATAGGATATCATACCATCGTCTTTGGATCAGTAGACTATTGAACTGCAGTAATGGAAGCTCTCTCTTTGTCTTCTGCCTTCACTAATGCAAATTAAAAGAATCACTCCACCTAAAAACATGCACTGAAAGAAGGAAGAGTACAGGGTGCCACGAGGGGGAAAAAGACCTCAGCCTGCTTTAAGAAGCTAAGTCTAACTGGATTCACCAAAAGGTGGTTATCGTAATAATATTTTTTAATCACGTCACCTATGTTGGCTGGTCTTCAAGATTCACCAAGAGGAACAAAATTAGAAAACAGAACTGGGAATTCTCTGCTTGTGAAGGGATAGATTAAGAATTAGGGAGGGGAAATGGATTGTTTGATTTTGCAAAGTGTTTCATTGCTTTTGGAAGGTACAAGAGGGCAGATGTTTTTCAGGAGCGTAATTTTCTGTCTTCTTGGCATCCCAAAGGGAGGGATACAGAGCAGAGGATCTGATGTTTGAGCTTATGTAAGAAAAAGAAACAGACCCAAAGCCATTTGCAGAGAAGAATTGCTTATTCGCTCTGCAAATCCTTTCTCCTTTGCATTAGTTTGGTAAATATGGATCTTTCTTTGCCAAGACAATGTGGAAAGCAACCACTAGGACAATTGTGTGCATTATATATCGATCATGTTTCTACAGAGTATGCCTGAGATCAACTCAATTCTGACAATCGTTGACAAAATTATTGTTTTAGATACATATGTGCATTTTCTAAAAAAAACCTAGTGAATTGTTAGGTTTACATGCAGAAAAATAAAACGGGTTGCTAATTCCATCTAATGCAACTTACTAGAAAATGGTTTTCAGCTGTACAGGAAAAGCGTTAGTGGCTTAATCTCTCTCTCTTTCTCTCTGTCTGGATCAAAAACTTAACAGGTTTTGGGTTAAGTAAAAATGGATTTTTTTGAAAAATGGTAAGTTTTCAAGTACACCCAGCAGTTCCCACACGTTTAGTTAAATCCATGTTGGAAATTGTCACATGTGAAAACCAGGTCCAGATCTCCCAGTTTAAGCCTCTCCTTGCGGAGATTGTGCTGCAATGACATCTTTGCATCAGCAATTGGTCCTCCTCCACCTTTGATTCTGACAACTAACATTTTGCTTCTATGTAGCTACCAGCACAGCCCATTAACTAGCCAACAAGAATAAGTTTCTTCTTACCCACAGAGGGGCTCCTCATGCCTCTTCACCATCATACTTAAATTTGATCCCATGAACGGTAGTAGATTAAAAGGATCCTTTGCTTATCACATTGCTTTTATTTATTTCCCTGTCCTTTGCAAAATGCTCAGAATTCCCTTGGTTGCTAAAAGCTTTCTGCTAAAAGAGACCAAAGGGGTGGGGGTGGGGGTGGGGGCAGGGATTGGTTGGGATAATTGTTTCTAATAAAATTTAAGAATTATTTCAGAAAAGCACAGTTTTTATATGATCTTGGGCAGGGTGTGAGGGAAGCGTAAGCATTTGTCTTTTCACTGGATGTAAATTTCTCAAATGGATGAGAAATCCAATAAATTTCTTGACTCACACTGGATGTCTTTGTGAGTGTCTGTGACTAAAAAGACAGCATGGCCCTGGGCGCACACATATCCAGCACAAAAGACAGGATCCAACTGAGCAGTGGAATTGAAATGGGGAGAGGGAGAAGCAAAACCAGCCAGTTCTTAAGTCTTAAGCCAATTCATGCAGTAATTAAATTGTGGTGCCTATATTTGGTAAGAGGGCAGAGAAGAGCAACAAAGATGATTAGGGGACTGGAGGCAAAAACATAAGGAACGGTTGCTGGAATTGGGTATGTCTAGTTTAACGAAGAGAAGGACGAGGGGGACATGATAGTAGTGTTCCAATATCTCAGGGGTTGCCACAAAGAAGAGGGAGTCAAGCTATTCTCCAAAGCACCTGAAGACAGGACAAGAAGCAACGGATGAAAATTAACGAAAGAGAGAAGCAACCTAGAACTAAGAAGAAATTTTCTGACAACTAGAACAATTAATCAGTGGAACAACCTGCCTCTAGAAGCGGTGAATTCTCCAACACTGGAAGTTTTTAAGAAGAGACTGGACAGCCATTTATCTGAAATGATGTAGGGTTTCCTGCCTGAGCAGGGGTTGGACTAGATGACCTCCAAGGTCCCTTCCAACATCAACATCATCATTATTATTTCTGACTTGTGCTTCTAGGATCCTGTAGGATCTTTATCTAAGATAATGGTGGTTGTATGTTTTTGTGCATATCTACACATCAAAGGCTGAGTGGCCTGCTCACTCCACTCCTTTTTGGAAGAAAATTGTAAGGACTACCAGGAGAATATATGCTAATATAATGTGCTGGGAGAAATCCCCCATGGTTTAGTTAAGAGGGCATCTTTAAACAAGTATAACATACCACATCACACTAAACCATGGTTTGAACTATGATGCATGGAATAAATCATAATGTTTAGATTCAAATACGCTAAATCATAAACCACAAACCAGAAGGGATGGGTTTGCACAAAACTAATTCATGGGTTAGCATAAGGTACCGACCTGCCTTTAGAATATTTTCAGATGAAACTTATTGTATAATTTATGGAATTTCACTGTGGAATCAGCATGGAGAAGAATAAACATTACCTAAAGTCTGTAGCACAGCTGTGCTTTCATATGGCTTCTTCCTGTTATTTCCCCATTGCCACAAGAAATCCATTAGGGAGCAAATGACCAGATAAGTAGGTTAGATGCCTTAAGCCTGGAAAGTGAATTAGATTCTCTTGGTTGGTTTCATAACCTTTGAAACTGTGAATCAGCCTTTAGTTGGGTTCATGTATTGCACTAAGCCATGGCTGGCTGAGGAATTCTGGGAGTTGAGGTCCACAGGTCTTAAAAGTTGCCAAGTTTGGAAACCCCTGCCCTAAACCAAGACCAAATCACATTTTGGCTCAGCAGCCCCAGGGTGTGTCTTTGTTCCACTATCTTGTAATACTGAGTAGACTCTAGACCAGCCTAAAATCTTGCTAAGTCATCTTGATCAATGTTAGCTTTATAGATTTGGTATGAAATTTCTATCCCTTTTTGCTGTCATTGTAGCAACATTCAGCCTGATGAAGAGCTCTGGGAATCTTACAGAATTGCTGATCACTTTGGGACTTTTTGGTTCGCCCTAATAAAGAAGTTGCCTTTGTGTGAATGTCTGCAGTTTTCTTTATGGCCCTTTTCAGCTGCCCTGGTTTTTACCCAATCATGCTGTTTTTGTATCCACCAAGCTTATCTTCTTATAATCTCACATGGACTTAAAATGTCTCCCATTTAGCAAATGAAAAACATTTTGCTTTAGCAAGGAAGCAGCATATTTGTTTCCAAAGCTGTTTGTGAAGACTAACAGTCTTGCACATCTGGAGGGCCAGGTGAAGGCTGGCAGTACTGCTATTATTAGGCTGCTCTTCCTAGCACTGCCATAGCAGGAAGTCCAGTGTTGGAAGTCCAAGAATACCACCTGAGGGCTGAAAAAGGAAAACTCTGCAGAGATGATTCCTGTGGTACATTTTATTGATCTTTTCCAATTTATTCCAATGGCTGCTTCCAAAGAGTCTTTCAGTTTTGTACTAGCATCTTAGGGGAAACTATATAGCAGGGGTAGGCAACCTTGGCTCTTTTATGACTCATGGACTTCAACTCCCAGAATTCCTCAGCTATGCTGGCTGAGGAATTCTGGGAGTTGAAGTCCATGAGTCATAAAAGAGCCAAGGTTGCCTACCCCTGCTATATACCAATGTAATCATTTGAATGCTGGAGTAAACAATGGGATTTTGTTTGTTTGCAAAAAGAATGGTGACTACGGAATCCAATACATTTGTAGTTTGGTCAAAGTCCACAGACATGTTAGTGAAGCGAGTGCTAGGGTGAACAAGGTCTAGTCTTCTGATACTAAATGTACATGCAGAATCGGTGTGATCTTTAGTGAATAGATGGTTTATTCTCTGTCAATGCAACATTTGTGTACAAGGGTTTCTTGAAGAAAACAGAAAAGCAATTAATTTTTCAGATGTATGGATTATTTAGATAAATTGGACTATTGGGAATAGAGACAAGAGTGACTTCATCATAAAAAGCGACAGTGTTCCAAATCCATAATGTATCAATCAGCAAAAGTTAGAGGTTGTTTAATATGACTTATCTAATTGAGTGGCACTTTAGGGAATTGCCTTATGCCAATTCCAAATACTTGGGCAAAGTTGTTTTTTTTTTTGTTACTTGTTAAATGAATAAAGTATTTTACTAATTCTGGTATTTTCTGCAGACTCTGGTTTTGCAGTTTTACTGACTCCCCCTCTTAATGAATCTGTTCTTCCCTATTTAAGATAAATAAATTCCATTAAAGAAAAATCCCCTTTCTCACTTGTTGGAGACACAAAATAAACAATATTTTCTAATATTTATCAGCATATACTTGGTTCATATTTATTTATATTTATTGAATTTGTTTATATCACCCCTATTGCTGCAAGGTGACTCTGTGCATCTAATAGCCAGCATTTTGCATTTTGGTCTGGTGGATGATCATTTGTGTAAGCCAAAATTATTGTGTTTTTCTTCAAATCTCTATTTCTGAATATACGGGGTGGGGAACCTTGCTACACCCACAAATATACAGACTTTCACTCATTAGAAAGAAATAGAACTTTACAGTGACTTATTTGCCACTGCTCAGAAGTTAACAAGCTCAGCACTTTTCCTTTTCACTGTAGAGAGCAGAAACAATCACAATTTGTCTTCTTTTGTGGCAAGAAGAGATTTATCCACTTCTAGAAACAGGGAAAAGATAAGGAGCAACTTGGAGACTAAAGCCCGGAAGAGGTTGGATGTAGTTGGCCTGGAGAAGAAATAATTATATCTATCTTTAAAAGGCTTCAAAGAAAGGATGGGCAAATTAGTTTTCTGCTCTTCCAAAAGATAAGAATTAGAACAATGGGTCCACATTCATATGAAGGTTTTCTATCAAATAAGAGGGGAAATGAATATCTTTGAAAGTAGCGTTCTTTCTTTCCTCAACTTTTTTCAGCAGAGAGGCTGATAACTATTTCTCAAATGTCCTATAAGGATCGGTTTTGCAGTAGCCAAAGATGAAACTGGGCTACATTCATAACCATCTTTATTTTCCAGTTTTATAAAAAATTTAAATTAAGCCTTGCTATTATTGTCATGAAGCTTGAGAAAGAGTAGCTCAACTTCAAATAGTCACAGTTGCCTCCCTACTTTCCCTTAGTTTTACATTTTTATTAGTATCTTCATTCTTTTTAAAATACTTTGAAACAAATTTGGAAGCCCCGATTTTATTCAATACTTTGCTCAAAATATTACATTTTAACAAACTGAGATTTTTCCAAAGATATTGCTCACTTGTGAACTACTATATGGGACGTTTCTGATTAGCTTCATTGATGAATGGTGACTTAAGAAGACTTGTTGACAGAATGTTATAAATTATTTTTAATGCACAGACATGGTTTTTTTTAAAAAAAAATCAGTGACCAAGGAGACTTGATTGGCAACAAGAAGGAAGTTAGTAGAATGATGGTTTTGAGATAAAGCATGAGAATGTCTAGGTTAAATTGGCATACGTAAATGAATAGCAAAACTCTTCTAAATACAAAAGTTAAACTATTGCCTCTACCAGGGACTGCCAATTAATTTCCTTACCTTGGAAATATTCCATAAAGGGTCAGCAGAGGGTGCTACATATCAGCAGATATTTCCAAGAAAAATGACTTTAATTATACTGCTGGGGGATGCATGGATCCTCTTCCCACACAGCTGGTTAAACCAAATGTTCCATTTTAGGAATATGCCTTCCCTACCTAGAAACCAGGCATTTGGAACTTGTTTGAAAGACTCAGTCAAGAGAACTAAGACGTGCAAACAGGATGCTTCCAAATGGAGTGATTTTGCTTATGCAAATAGAGTAGATCCTCATGAGTATCACTGCAAAATAACAATCAAATTAGTTGGAGTGTAATTCTTAGGGCACAGCTATCGTACTTGCCACATGCTCCCTGTTGGTAGCTGCTAGCCACAAAGGAGCTGCTGGGAAAGGGTTCACAGCTAAGGAGAACAACATTCAGAGACATGATAGTACACTTTGCATTTAACAAGCCTGTTCCTCTTCTTCTAGCAATTCTTCTGGAAATAAACTTCAAGAAAGAAATTGATTGTACATTAATTGTTCAGCCTGAAAGTTATATTTCCTTCAAGCTGAAAAAAACAATTCAGCTTATTTATATTAACTTATTATGGCGAAATCCTAAGCAACAGAGGGGAGCCACCAATTACAGAGTGGGTGGGCGTGGATTAGCTGTGACAGC